TACTAAGGTCAGACTGACCTATACAAACGGCTCTCGTTTGCCAGTGCTGCACATGCAATTGATTTGTCCTTCAGACTTTATGTATAATATGGTTAGGACCAAACTGTTTTCAACTGTAGTGACATAGCTATACTGAGGATAATGGGGTTGCACAAGGGTCACTGATACCACAATTCTACCTTGGGAATTTAAGTTGTATTTCATCAACATTTTTCTGTTAATGTCACAGCCGCACTGCATCTGTCTTTGCAACTGATGCAATCAAATGCCCTGTGCAGAATGAGGGATCTGCATACTGTCACACAGGAATGCTATTTAGTGTTTAGTCACTTGGCTTTAAGTGTCTGCATGATTTTGTGATTTGAAATACAATTTCCTGAATAGAACAAATGCTTCATTGCAAAAAATACACTCAGGTCTCTAGGAGTGAGAAACGTAATTCTTTACAGCTCGCTAAGGAGGAAACACAAGGGCCAAGATTTCTTTAGGTGGTCAGTGATCCTGGATAATTCTATTTAAGTATACAACTCAGACCCTCTTAAACAGGCTTGAGTTCTGAACGCCCAACACTTTTCTGAAATTCAGTGACCTTTAAACAACGTTGAATTGGATATCCAAATTAAAGAGTCTCATAATCATGAACATTTACCTATATTTACTATTATTATTATTCACTGATGTGTCCTGGGGGTATTAAGTATTGTGCAAACATACGGGAACATCTGAATATATTTTTAATTTCTCAAGCGACAACAGAAGTAAATCACTGGAAAATTATATATTAATTAACAGATGAATATATTCACTCCCCAGCTGAGTTGTACGAGTAGTATTCCCGAGATGAAGAGTGACAGATTACATCAATATATCCACACCTGTGCATCCAGAGGGTAACACCTTCACTTGGTCAATGGTAGTACTCTGAAGAGTGATCTCTAAAGCAACTCTGAGCACAGATACCACAAGATGACTGCTACTTCCCAAGCATTTTGCAAATAGCCCAGTGTAAACTTCTCCCATGATGCACTAACATGCTGGGCCCATTCAAGCATGCTCCAACCACACTGCGACAGATTCTGTACGAGCTCTATCTTGACGGCTGCCACAGAAAAGACCTTGGTACAAAGCAGGCACGCATTCTAAATCTTTATTCCTTCTCTGACTACAAAGAGAGCTTTTAGCAAAGAATTTGGTCTATACATTGTTTTGATGCATTGATATGACTACTCCATTCATTGTAAAACAGTTTTAGCTAATCAAATCAGGAAGATGAATCAACAGACTACATTCTGTGAATCACAAGTCTACGCTGCACAAGAAGTATCGGAGAGAATGCGAGTTTGTTTTCCGCTTTAACAGATGTTAATATTATTTTATCATTCTTTTCTTGTATTATTGTAAAATAGAAAGGGGGTAATAGATATTAAAATGATGCATTCCAGTATTTACTTGGGGGCGCCGAGAGACAAATTAATGCTGATTTTAGAAGTTTGTATCATGCCCAGTCTCAGTTTCTGACTCCATATTTTAAAAAAGGCTGAGCACGCCTAATTTTCAGTCATTAAAGATGATACCATAGGGCTCCACTGACATGAAGGGTTTTACAAACTGAAGTCTATAAAGGCTTTAGAGAAACTCCAGACTTGTGCAGCTATACTCCAGAAAGCAACTCCTTCAACTGCACCCAAAGCTACTAAGACCACAATGATTAGCACACAGCACAGATGCTATATTTAGGGACAGGAAGCTTCTAAATGGTCTGTTACAAGTACAGCATTTCCTCAGTAAAATTAAGTATGTTTTTTATGCATAGTCAGAAATCTGTTCTTTCAGCTAAAGGAAAAAGCTGATTGATTGATTTTACTCTCTGTGTATGTCCTACTTTTCAATAGCAGTCAATGAAAGATGACCACTCCATTTTCCCTTACGCAGCTTTTTTTTGCTCCTGATACAACCTAGCCTGGTTTAGCTTTCCAAACCTAAGGAGACCAAACACATTTTGATGCCTACATCTGCATTCTCTCTTCTACATACTGATATTTCAGACCACAAAACGGTCTACCCCAGAGAGAACATATGCCATATACCTGTTAGATACATGTTATACACTTGCTACATCATCAGTTGAATATATACACCTTCAACGTTTAAAATAAATGCAACTAGTGTTCAGTAATTTGCTACAGCTTCAGACTCTTTCCAGAGAATTTTTTAATGTATTCAAATCACAATAAGGATTAGATTTGTCGGTCTCATTCAATATCACCAAGTGGAAGAGGATCTGGGCTCAGCTGGGGCATCATTATTATCCTAGCAGAATAATGCATCTCATACCAGTCAAGAGCAACCATTCCAGCTTACTACAGTGCTACAAAAAGAAATAGGTCTGGAAGCAACTTGACTGGTCTTAAAAAGGAGGATAGTGATCATGCTGCATTACTCAAAGGAGAAGGAGCAGCATAAAAAAGGGAAGAAAATCTATTACTATTATTAGGGAAGTTACTGTCTCTGTGTGTAAGGAAGAGGCTCCTGAATCAGCTCCTCACTCTCCACACAAGTCATATACATGCATATCACTCCCCTTAGCATTCCTCTTACCCTCTAGGTCCTCCACTTCTTTGACTACAGTTATCAAGTAGTCCCAGTTTCTTATCCCAATAACCTCAATTACATCATGTATTGCTGCAAAAGGAGTGCCGTAAGACAAACATGGAAGAAAAAACTATGAAGCCATAAAAGAGGATAAAAGAGAAATATACAGCAAGAATGTATGTGGAAATCAGAAAGAGTCGTGGAAAGGCAGTCAGTATAGTCTGACATTTAGCACAGCAGGGCCACACTACGGCATATACTACAGAAAGATTATTTTTTCCACTGAAACAGAACATCAGGTCTGTATTGCTAACACTGCCATTACAGACAAGAGGTAAAAAGGAAACAGGATGCTTTAAAAAGCAGGTGTTTGCAAAGAATTGCTGGTGTCAGACACCCCAAAGTGACGACCATTCATTTATATCAAACAGGCAGCCCACTTTGGACACCTGGCACTTCTCCCAGCTCATGGATTGGCTAGAGGAACCTGCTAAAAGGACAGCACAAAGGAAGAGAGCAGCCAATGAATGTGAGATGATGAACTGTGAAGAGCTGTTGAAATTGCAAGGGGGAGTAAAGTGAATCCAAGACAAACACTGCATTTTTCTCAAAGATTCAAAAGTTTTAATACTAAGCATATCAAAAGGCCTATCAATGCTTTTGGAGCATGAAAATTAAATACCAATTGTCTATTAAGAGATTTCACATAAATTTCATATTATCTGTGTGTTGCTTTCTCTTTTCATTCTTCATAAATTTAGCCCCTACAAGCCACAAGGAAAGATACATTCCAAAAACAATAGATTAAAAATAACTAGTCTACCATTAACAGCTGACTTCACTAGTTCAACGCCTATTCACCCCAGCTGAGTATATGGGCCACAGTATACCTGGACACGGACTACCTTCTTTGCTGCCTTTTTGTAGGGTTTCTACATACTACCAAGGGCTACAAATAATAAAAAGAGACAATGAAAGTTTTCAAATAACCTAACTAATCTTAAAATTTTCAAAAAAAAGAACTTTTAAAGGAAATGGGATGTTTTAGTAGTGCATTTTATACTTAGGTCTTAACTCTAACAAAGGAAAGTGTAAAATAAAATGAAGCCACTTCCTCAAGATTCCCTAAAAATATATTGTTAATGAGAAACAAATTAAAGCTATTGCACTATATACAGTATTAACTTTTATGTTGCTTCAGTAGGAAAAGCAGACTATTGCATTTTCATGAAGCAGAACAAAAGGGAAACGCAGATATCCTGCTTTCTTGTTAATGCTCCTATTCTGTTAGATTCTCCTTTTAAGTGTTCCTTCTCTTTTCTCTTCTTTTTGAGGCAAGCTGTTGTGCCTGTGTTTTTATATAAATTGCTCCAAGTAATATATGTTGAGTTTTCAGAGACCATTTGGTTAGAGTCTAATGATCTCTCCTGGGAGCTGACACCAACTTCCAGCAGCAGGTCCAACACTGCAGATTAGAATAATAAAACACATGCTGCTGCAGCTTCCCCAAAATGCAAGCCTGTCTTTCTCAAGCTTAAGAATAACGTTTTGAGATGTCTCAGATGCCTTGCCTCCTAGGCAGAGCTTTCCTCTGCTTTATATAAACAAATACATCCAGTAACAGCTTTTTTCCCCCCTCTTCTAAACAGAAACTGTGTGCCACTGCAAAGACAGAACCAGATCCCACATTTCTTCTTGTCCTCATAGTAATGCTGTGTTCCTTACCTGACCAAAATAGAAAGCCAGCATTTTAAAATTTTCATTGAACTAAAATTATATGTTATTTACATAACGTATCTTTTTTCTTGTTTTGAATTTTTAAAAAATCATTTTTCTACACAACGGTGTTGATTCTTCAGATTATTTGTGTAAAGGTAAACTAGATAAATATAATGAAACTTACATACAGAACAACATGGGCTTAGAAAGAGACTGGTATGTATTCTCCAAATTAGCATTGTGTTAGGGTACCTGTCAAGTGTAAGAATAATTACAATTTCCCCCTTGTAATTCACTGTTCGTTATTACAGTGTTCCAAATAGGAATCCCAGGTGGATTAAGACTTGTCATATTTAACCTCTTTGGCAATCCACCCCATAACGATTTTTTATGCTATTCTGAAAAATGAACAGTTCCACATGCACAAATGCTAACGGGAATCGAAGTCTCCAATTTCTTCCTCTGACATTCAATAACACTATCCTCTGCAGAAAAAAACAACAGTTATACTAATTTATAAGCACCATGCAGACCCAAGCAGTCTAGAAAGAAATCTCTCTACCAACTGTGAGGAAAAAAAAAAAAAAGAGAGAAAGCTTCCATGAGCATTTTGAGAAATTCTGAGGGAGCAAAAGAGAAAAAAAAAAAAAAAAAGCATTGCAAAGATTTAAAATATTCCCAATACTCACTGAAAGCAGCCACTGCAAGAGCCAGCGTGACAATAATGGAGACCCAGGAAACCCACAGCGCCTTCTTTCTGTAGCTTTGAGCTTCATGAGGTTTTAGCCTTGTACTGCTTTCTAGCAAACCTGACAAGCAATAAGCAAAGAAGTATGAACAATGCATTGCTCCTTTTAAAAGCAAAGCTATGTTAGTTCAGACTTAGATCAGATGTTTACATTCTGCATTATACAGAGAATCTATATAGAATCAAATCCTGCTCACATTATTAAGGTTAAGTGAATGATGCCATCAGAAATAGCGAGTAAGCAAGGAGAGCTATACTCGGGCTGTTTTGATTTCACATTACAAGTAACACCTGCACCTCAGTCACCTAGAAGAGCATTGCAATTGCAGGGCAACTATGGAAATTCACATCACTTAAGTTTGTTGTATATACATGTACACAAGAAAGGGCTCTGTACTGCAATCACTGTGCTCAACGGTAAAACTCATGCTTATTTCACGGCTTCAGGATCCTGGAACATAATTAACATAGAAGAAAAATTTTGTCCACCAATCTCCGAGAGATAACCTACTAATACACTGCAACATACTGTGCACATATAAAGAATCGAAGTAGAAGCAGGCCTACTTTAGAATCAAAGCTATCACAGATGGAAAAACCTGTTGAAGCATGATGTCTTTCATGCAAGGTAGGAATACATCCCCATCTAGAAGTTGTGTCAGAGAGTAACTGAAGAACTAATTGCGTCCTTATTGCAGTTAGTGCAAAGGTCTACTTAACACAAGAGAATCAGGATTGCTTTTTTTGCTCTTCAATGTTTTCAATTTGTGGAAGTCATTTGTCCACCAATCTTAAGTCACAGAAAATAATTCAAATCAAAAAGAAGGAAGATACTGATATTCTTTGGTTCTCATTCGCTCAGTCCGAGTCTTAAGCCATCTTTTTAAACGTGTTCATAATCTAATCACCTTTTGTTCATCCTATCCATATTCTTCCGTTCTTAAGACAGCCATTTAATTTAAAATATAAAAATAGAATTTTTTCATCAGCAATATCTGACTCAAATCTGCTTAACTGGAGAGAGAACGCCCAATGGCTTTTAACTTTGTTAATGAATTACTCCAGAAACTGTGGGTGGTTCTTCTTAAATGATTATCACTTTTCAGAGGGCAACTTGCCTTCCCTAAAGGCGTAAAACTAAGGCATTTGTTTAATAGTAGAATCTTTCAGTAGCTGGTCTAATGTTTTTAACAAATGGCTGAGAACGGGGGGCTCTGGCGGACTGTTAGCGGCAAATTAAAACATAACAGATGAAGCTGTTACCATCCTCACCTTCCCTAGTTTTCTCACTAACCTCTCCAAGTGCCACTTTCAAGGCAGGGATACACGATCTGGTTTTGAGTGTACTCCTGAATCTACACCACGTTTAACCCAGTTTATCAATGTTAACAAATATTAATTTCAACTGACTGTAATATGCGGGCTGAAAACTGCAATGGCTCTGGAATCAATTCAAAAGCGGATCAGACATCTCTGCCTCAGGGGCACCAACTTCTCAGTGGAATGGTAGGCATCCAGGGGTGGTAACAATTAGAGCCACCACGCTTTATTCTGCCCCCTCAAGTCCGTCAGAATCACTAGTTCTATAATCCTAGCATAACCAGTAGGATTCGCTGTCTTGGGAAAAAATCTTTACGTCTTTTTCACCTCAATTACTTCACCTGTAAAACAGAGAGTTTCTTTATGATAACTCGGAAAGCTGCTGTGAGAATATAATGCCTGTAATGTGTTTTTATTATTTTTGATCTGTATTACCTCACTTTTGTGCTACAACCTGCCCTCTTTATGAATGGAAAAGAATTTGCACACTTGCATGCAGGAGAATTCCTATGCCATATATTGAAATGATGCCTCTTTCTTAATATGTGCATTCTTTGCCACGTTTGTTTAATATACGAAAACCACCAGATTGACAGCTCTGAAGCCTCTGAATTCTTTACTTGCAGTACTGCAGAGCCATTTCTCACATAGCCTGCCTTCATTTGTGTGCAGAAATATATATTCATTCAGTGTTTAGCCTGTCTGCTGCCACTACTTGTAATGGTGCACAGTTTAATTGGTGTCTGACATGAGGTAAACATTTAACAATAGATCAAGAAATATGGCAGAGATTTCCACTGATATAACCATGGAGAAAACGCATCTCACGCTTTGTGCATTCTCTCCCTCCACCCTCCCATCCCGAGGGTCTTAAATTAAGGCCCAAATCCTGTTGGAATGCAAAGGAAAGCAGGCTTCCTTTGCCAGTTTTGATCCTCAAGACTTCAAAACTGAAATAAACATGGAACAGCGTGACAAACATCCCCGCCTGTTTCTTTCTTTAAAGGCATCATACTATTCATGGCTACAGCTCACTGTTACCTAGGAAGACCAACATATAGAACTGATACGTACAAATCACATAATATCCTAGTTAAATTAGGAAAGGAATAATAAGCCACATAGCTAGCCCTGCACTGCTAATTGCTATTCACATATCAAGCATATGTCCAGTCTGACAGAGATCCTTATAAAACAATACTGCAATCCTTATAAAACCAAACCACTTCTGTGTGTGTGTGTGTGTGTGTGTGTGTGTGTGTGTGTGTCTCTCTCTCTCTCTCTCTCAAAATGGCTGGCATAGTCTAGTTATCAGAAACGTGACTTCTTCCTTCTTTTCAAAAATAATTCAAATATATTTTCTGTATTTACAATTTTCACCCTTGAGAAAAATCATAATATTCTTAGGGGAGTCCTAGGGGGCAGCACACAAAAATACAAACTTACTCGTATGACTACCAAACCTATATCATGAAAATTATTTAGAAGCAACACGAGCACATTAGTTTGCATGCAACAACGCAATTCACAAGGTAAGCCTCTATATTTTTCCACTGACCATAACAAAACAAATTTTAAGCATCCACAGAAGGCTGAAAGATAATCTTTCGGAATGACCTGCATTGCTACAGAAATGAAAAGCTATTATCTACTGATAAGACTTTTCTGCCCCAAAATTAACATACTGAATAATTTTATTACTAATAATTTAACACTTAGATATTTTTAAGGTAAAGAAAGGATGATGAGCTGGAGTGGAAAATCCACTGGATTTTTACTTTACATTTCAGTACCTTCATATATTAACAGATTTTCCTCAAAAAAAAAAAAAAATCAGAGAAAAAACCTGCCTAACAGTTGCAGAACACAAGCTTGGCATATTTGCGAAGTGATTCTAGGATATTCTTTACCATATGCTGACTTACCAGAAGTATTTTTCTATTTGGCTAAGGGATCATTTTAAAATGTCAAGTTAGAATTTGGGGAAGAGGCGGGGCTAATAGAAAAAAGCTGTTCAACTGAGATGTTAATTTAAGGGCCCGATCCAAAAAATTACCACAGATTTTGGATTTGGCTCTTAAAGATCAGATATCTTGTTCCAAAATTTGGGGTTATTTTTTATTTTTAGCAGATACTTAAGTACCATCTCTATAACTGGATCTGCTATGATTCATTGAAAAGGATCATAAGGAAAAGTGCACGCTAAAAGTACAGCCTTTTAAAAAGGTGATAGAACAATATTATCAACGGGGACAACCTGCAAAAAGCATACCAGAACTGCTTCTAGAATGGCTGGGAAACATCATGGTAGATGGAAGCAGGAATCAGATAGAAACTGTTATCACACAGATGTGGGAAAGGCTGAGAGAAAGCTACTGCAAGGGCCCTAGAAGAATGTGAAGGCAGGTAAGGCAATGGGATCAGCAGCCTTAGTCCCTTCTCCCTCCTAGAAAGGAGTACATCAGACGCTATCTTTATGGAATTATCTTTAGTACCGAACTGGCCAGCTTTTATCTTAAGCTCTGTCATACAGCGCACAAATTAAAAATTCCTGTAATCAAACTTCCACATTTGGACCATAATCAAAATTCCTGATTCCAATTATTTAAAATAGAACTGCAGCTGTAAATTGCCCTCAGGCAAGATGTCTGCCATTTGCCATTGGCTGTGACAGCGAGCATAGTCTTGGTAAAAGGGTTGTCCCAAGTCCCATCCTGACTCAAACCTGCCAGGGAAGATAGTGGCTGCTCTTCCCTCGCCATTTTCTACTTCGTGTCTAGAATTTGTGACCAAGCACGAGAACGTAGGAAGCTGGAGAAAGACTAGGGGATGTGAGGGTTTGGTGTAGGATGGGATGGAAACTGAGAAGATAAAAGGGACTTTGGGGTGCTGAAGGCAAAAAGAGAAAGGAACGAAATGTAACAGAGAGAATAAGGAAAACATATGTGAAATCACAAATGGAGACAAAGTGTGTGGAACAGGAACCTGGAAGCATCATGGAGAAGACAGGACAATGAGGAGGGATAAAATGGCAGCTGCCTTTATCCACAGATGAGGACTAGGTGAGCGAAGTGCCTTCCACACTTGAACAGATGTCTTAAATAAGCGCGTTTAAGATTTAAGAATTATACAGTTTGGAAGCAGGCAGCTTTCCCCTCCTGACCAGATAGATATTTAGGCAAATAAAATAATTAATGAGTTAAAGTGCATTTTTTTAAAGAGAGGCAAGGGATGTCATGCAGGTGCCCTGACTTCATCGCCCATAGATGGCAAGGTGGGGTCTGTCTGAGGCAGACCGCAACAGCAAGGAAACGGCCCCGCTGTGCTCTGGAGTACCACATAACCCTGCTGAAAGGCTGCTGTCACAGGCCCCAGGCGACAGGTAAACTGAGAGGTTTCACTCTCTTCGGCTGTGAGAAATAAGTCTCACACTGACTGCCGCTTTCCAGAGTCCCTCTGCGGCCCCAGTGACCAGCTACTGGCCCTGGCGCCCTGCGGGGCGGCT